ATAGACTTACCTCCACGTGGTGCACCCTGGGCAACGTATACTCATACGGCAAAAAAGTCTATTAATCGGCAGTTGACTTCTGACTTCAAACTACCATTACCCCACTCTATGTCATATTCGACCCCTTCCACAGTATTCATCTAGCTTTTTCTCTGCCTTTTGTGTCTGTCTGTCTGTTACATGTGTGAATCGCTCTTCTTTCCCCCTGTCGAATTCTTCTCACTTTAATGTTCCTCCCTTCTGTGAAGCCCGAAGTCCACTAAAGGGCTAATGATAACTATCAAAATGCCTGCCATTTGAAATAAATAAATAAAGTCATCGCAAAGGCACAGAGGTTTCAATCCTAGGACTGTTAATCAAGAATTTGTATTGTGTTTCAACTTGAAGATTTTGCAGCTTTTATTAACCTTTAAGGAGGCCTCACAAAGTAAGACATTATTTGGCGACTATATTTACCATTTGTTGAAATTAAATAAGTTCGTTAATTAGGGAATTAGAATCAATCAGCAATTAGTAAAAGCGATAATAATTGGTGGTTATTTTGTGAATTAGATGAGCTTACACAATTTGGGTTGTCAATTCGGTCGTAAACATTGTCATGGTTTTCATTAGCTTTTGGTGTCCGTGGGTGATTGGTGTATAGTTTCTTAGTAATTGTTCATTTTCTCATTTGTTTAAAATTATTAACTAGTTCTATTTATTTTCTTACTTTTCAATTGATTTGGTTTTTTCGCATAAATTATACATGTAACTTTGTACTGGCCATAACTCGAAGACATTTGGGATATTGAAACTTTATTAAAAATCCTTTTATTATACTGCATATCGACTGTTTTTTAGCTTATTAAAGAAGGTCGTCGAAGCAACCTTTCTCTCGTCTTTCGCTATTCTAATGTATTTTCTATCTGGTCTGTGAAATTGTTTGTTAGGTAGGATCGAAATGCGATATATAATGAGTTCTGTAATCGTTGAGTTGTTCACTTGATCATGTGGGTTAAGATTCTTGTGCGACAAACTGGTGCAACGTTTTTATTATACGTGATTTGATGCCTGGATTTCAGAGTAAATTGTTGCCTGAGACAATTGAGATAGCCAATTTCTCGAAAGCAACTACTTATGGTTAACCAAATTTGCTAGTTTGGCGTAATGAGGGTAAAGACACGTAGGATGAAAGGAAATTACGGGAACTTTGCACTTGTTTAATTCAATCTACTTCACTACGTGATGGCGGAAAACATAATGGTTCTGTGCCGTATCTCTGCGTTAAAAAACATTTTAGTTAGTTGATTTGGGTTGTTAATAGGGTCAGGTACCGAGGTAACAAAACCACTTAATGTGATTAACCAATCAGTAAGATCTTCGCTCTTAATAGCATTCCCTTCGAATCCAGGTATCTGAATTTATCCGCAGCGCAAAAGGAGAAAGCCTGCATTTAACTTATTACTCTTTGTATTCGCCATAGCTATTTTCTACTCCACTACCTATGCTTGAGAAATGAAGAAGAGCTAAGCTGTTATTTTAGTTTCTAACATTATTAAATTGTAACCTAAAATTCTTACTTCTCCACTGTCGTACGCAAGTGCTGTGTTATTGTTCATTGTATTTTCTATTTTAAAGATAGTAGAGTTGTAAAATGCTTTTTCTTTCAAACAGGTTTCGGAACAACTATCGTGCTCGATCTCTCAGCCTATATGCATTCTCTTGATGTATTGCGGGAATTCGTTGTAAACTGCAATAATCCAAAGCTATGCTTTTTGCCATCCCACGGCGATGTGATAACCGATCCTCTTGCGAAAATTGAAGAATACAAGAGCTTCCGTATGAAACATATCCATAAAGTCAGTGAACCTAACTTGAGATTTATGTTCTCTTTTAGGCGCTCTTACTTATTAATTTATTGCCTCTTTAGACTCGAGAAGGAATTCTCCAAAACCCATCCGATACTTGGTTAAGCGAAAACAAGTTGATCGAACAAATCTATCCAACCACGGGATCAAAAATGAAGCAAATGATCGGAAACAACCTTCGTCAATGCCTGTTTTGGCATCAAGCTAACGAGAAGGCGTTCATCATACATGATCCAATAACTGCTAATAGTAAGGAGCCCCGGACTGAGAAGGACTTCAAGGCTGCTACTGCTATAGCTCGTCCGGGATATCTTCCAGAAATTCTCAATGAGGAGTGGTTATGGAAATGGAATACGGTGGGACAGAAGAACCACAACAGTCATCAATCTAATGTTACTAACCATTCTTAAGTGTACGCAAGTCAACAATGCTGTGTTGTGTCAACCTAATCACTGTTTCTTCCGTTATATTTGATGTTTAGTAAGGATGTCATTATATACATAGCTCTATTTTTCCTTTATCCAACTTACACTGTGCTATCATGTGTCAATAAACGTAAACCTTGAATTTACTTGGCAACTCTTCCTTTCAAGGAAGTAACGCACATTTGTTCGGATGGTATATAGTCGTCATCTTTGAAATGTGAAAATAAAAAATATATAGTAACTGAAACCATACATTTTTAAAATTGCCGATCAATGTTGATCCATCTCGGGTAGTAAAGAATTCTCGTGGCCCCCTGACTGCTCTTCAGTGTCCGATATTCTTTTTGAAAATGACACCTACTGGAAAGGAGTGACTGCTGCATAAGTACATGTTTCTGTAAAACTACAGCAACTCAAACGTCATAAGGAGTATTCGCCCCCCATCGAACCTCAGTAAAGGATCAAATGTGTTGCCAGACTACTTTTACGAATATACAGATCTCAGTGTGTGCTTGTCCTCCGAACCACGCGAATCTTAGATTGATGCTCCATTATTTATGTATTAGATGGCGACAAAAATAGACACTAACCGCCTTGCCACCACTACAAAAGCCAGTTGGCTAATGGGTAGAATGAAAGCAGCTTTCAAAGCCCTTCATAGGTCAAGTGTAAAATCAGCTTGCTCTAGATTCTGCGACCGGGTTTTGGCTCTAATAGCTGCAATTTGTGGTTTTTCGAGTAAAACTCTGATACTAACCGAACTTCACTGTCTGCTAAACTTATTTGAATTCATTAGATTCTATAGTTATCAACAATTTTTCTCCCTCTTGATGAGATTGTACAATTTTCTCTTATTCAAATTTTCCAGTTGCCAAATCCTCTAGAACTTTGTTTATCGTCTTTCTCGGCCGTAGCTTAATCTTATAGGAGTTGACTATCATTGCTACAGAGGCAAATTTATTCCAATTTCATCTAAGTATTTTAGCTGCAACCTCTATCTACTTTCTACAGTGGCAGTCGCAGAAGCTAAAGGGGCATCGGTTTAGCCCGTTACTCATCCCTTTTCACTTACTCGAAAGCTTAAAGAAAGTGCCAGGACCAAGGCTGTTCAAGAGGAAGATAAACAGCATAGAAAGTAGTAGTTGGATTCCCATACCCTCGATGATCAGTTCATTTACCTCCAATTTCTTACGCATTAAAAAAATTGAGTGACCAGATATTTTGTTAAAGAAGAGCATGTAGAACAAGTACGTGCATGTATTTATCAGCCCATTAATGAATAAGTGATTTATGGGATAGAGCAAGGGGATGGAGATAAATGATAAAATGAAGAGTCACTCATTTCCGATTTCTTGCACAACGATTAGAATGTATTCTTTGTCTACAAGAAAAGTAAATGAATTCAGATTTATAAGAGGCGATACATACCTGGGGCTATCATTATTTCATTCTTCTTGCTACGAATCCGAAGGAAAGTAAGATCATTTGTAGGATCCCCATCACGAATTCCAGCCCGCGATTTAGTGACAAGGTGTTGGGTGAGCGCACAGTAGTGAACTGTTAACGCCTTCTCCATTGTAGTCCTTATAGGCACGGCTGCATGTGGAGTGGAAAGTGTGTATGAAATTAATTATGCAAGAGTTTACTCCTAAAATAATGTGAGCTGCTCCGCTTAAACTTTAGAATTAAGAAAAGGTAATGTCTAAGTATATAACCAACAGTCTTCCTCTATTTAGATGACCCATATTTGGTCGAGACCACGAAAATACTGGACGCTAGAAAGAAATAAGAGAAAGAAGAGACAAATAAGCCAGAAAGGGTATCAATGCAAAGGTAGTTGGAGAAACAAGGGGGTTGTGCTAAATAGGCAGAGATAACATTTTCGTAGTTCTTGCTGTTCGAACAAGCAGCCTATTAAAGCTCACAAGACAGAGCAGACATGAGTCAACAAACAGGTCCCCTAGAACGCACCAAACTCGATTCGTAATATCCAGGCCAAAGGAGTTATTGCTCAGTAGCTACTCTCTAAAAGCAAACTTTCGCGACCCCACTGACAGTTATATCATTGGGATTTCAACTCCTGTTCCATCATATAGTATATCAGCAACCGAATTCACCTTGCAAGCGAGTAGTAGGAGTCAACCAATATCCAACTGGCAGTCTGTACTTGGGGGGCTATGTTCGTGTGAGTGATCTAGCTTCGCAAAATACTGTAAAACCAAAAAATAATTCAAGAAATCACAATCTTACTAACATTGGAGAAAGTTAACCAATGAGAGGAAATAATCAGTTATTTTTTATATACGTATTGTTAGAAGGAATTAAGATAATCAAACAAGTTAAAACAGGTTCATTAGGTCACTAGTTATTTCACAAAGGATTAAAAGAGTCAATCGTCGTAAGGTATAAACAGGGGGCAATCTCAGAGGCAGAGAATAACATTGAAGATGCTAAATAACTAGAGTTCTTTAAAATTAGCCATAAAGCCCTTATTCATGCTTAACAGAAGAAACAGGTCAGATTTCTGGTTACCAAGAGGTACAATTGCTATCGAAAATTATTAGTTTTGGTGAACAAAGACTTTTCGAATAACAAATTCAACTGACAAGACAAAAATTTACTTATCAAACTACTGTATTTCACTTTACTTAAAAAGATAATACACATGCTATTTGGACAAACGGATGCATCGACAAAGTTGACAAGACCTAATTTGAAGAGAGGATAAGTAAACTCACTTAATAGAAGAGGGAACCAGGACACTATTTTTCAAAGATGCTCTAATTAAATGTTCTAAATGTTTGGGACTACTCCCTGACATGCGGTGCTTTAAAAATCTCTGAATTTTACAACACTCCCTAAGATTCTAGAAATATCTTCCGTAAGGTGAACTTGATCGATCATATTCTTAAGATATACAAACAAGGGTATTTAAGATCATAAAACAGTGCTACACATACACTTCGAAGATTGTGTAGTAAGGACATAGACTACTATATTAAAATGTCCTGAGGTGATGGGACTTACCATCATAATTCATAACAATGACTCCCTGAACGCCCTTGTGCATCTGAATTCGGTTGAAAGTATCTTCGACTTCATTCTAAAAACCAACAGTTATTTAAAAAAAGCTAATAAAATTAAATGCAGACAAACTAAGAACGTATTATATTTACAAGTACTCAAAGGAACTAAGATAGTAAAGTGACAGAGGCATTAAACGTTTTACACACACCAACAATATATATCAAAGAGCTCAGAACGCAGGAAATTTAAATGCTTATAAGAATTATATCCTCTCAAATACTTAGTAAAAGATCAATTAAAATACATGACAAACAACCAACCATTGTGAACCTGAGTCTATGAACTAAATTAGGTAACCAAGGCTATCCCATCAATGGTTGCTCAGTGCCCTTGAATGGACTATCAACAATATGCATATTCATTAACATCTCTCGCCTACTCCTAGCGAAATGAAAATCATCACCTATATTTATAAGAATTTTTGTTAAAAATAAAGCGTCGTTACTTACTGTTCTTAGATCAAGGATATTCTATATGAAATAAATTCAAAATGTCGATTATTACAAATCGTATCTTTATTAAATGCCCGTTCCTAATCATGACGGCAAATCTATTTGCATTTAACTCGACCAATTGTTTGAGGAATTTGTTTTTCTGGCTCTAAAACCAGTTATTCACGTCTTAGCAATTTGTTACCACATTTGACTTCATTTTTGGTTGTCGCAAATACGACTTAGAGCATTTCTATAAATATGGTTAGAACTCCTTTGCACTTCATGTGGCAATAACATCCAATTTTTAAAAGAGCTTTGTAATATGCATGTTTTTTTATTACTCTTACTCTCCCAAACTGTCTTTTTATTTAAATATTCTACTGCTCCTTTTCATTCCTTACGATAAACAATTCAACTTAACTTTCTCAAAATGCTTACCTTAGTTAAAACTGTTACAGTTTCTGAATAAATCTAAACCACTTATCTACTTTTCTTTCAGACTTTTACCAGAAAGTTGTTTTTTATTATTTAGAGTCGTGGCATTCCGAAGGAAGGACGAGTGAGTATAAAATTTTTGCCCATTTTATGTCTTTAAATTGTTTCCTTACACGCTTCAGTAGGTAATACTGAAATACTCTATTATTTTAGTCAGAAACTGATGAAATTATCAAGAGGATTAAATCTCATCCCGGTATCTTCGGTATTATCATATATAACAGAGAAGGTAGAATGGTACCTTTGCTTAGTTACGTTAACTGCTTACTGCAAATATGAGCCTCATTCTGCATACTTCAGGAATTCCAATTCGGTCCACCTTGGATAATAGCACAACAGTACATTATTGTGGGCTCATTCAGAAACTTTTGAGGAAATCGATCAAAGCTGTCTCTGAACTTGAACCAACAAATGAACTCACGCTTCTTCGTATACGTAGCAAAAAATACGAAATTATGGTCTCACCAAGTAAAATTTCACTTCCTTGACACTTGGATTGTCACTTAATTGTTTTCATGCACTCTAATTGCTCAATTATAGGACGTGATTTGCGATTGATTGTTATTCAAAGAGCCGATTTCGGTGGAGCTTCGGTGAATGTTAAATAATTTAGAATGAGTAAATGCACCTAATCATCTCTGCTGCGTCAAACCGTTATTGTTACGCATTGTTTGGAATTGCCACAGTTTCTTATTGGCCAATGGATCCTATTTGATAATAAAGTAATATTTATTCCAGTTAGTATGGATAATTATTTTTACCGAGTGCAAAAGATGAGACTACAATATACCCATTCGTGCTATCTCTACATTGCCCAATTTGAGTGTTAGAGGGAAATGCAAGATATTGGGAAAGCACTATGTTTCGAGTGACATAGATCAGTGAGGTACTATGCAAACAAAAGGATGTAAATTAGTGAAATGTTTTTTATAACGTAGACAAAAGGGAAACTGATAAAATCTAATTACA